AATAGTCATGGTAAGCCATGCTACTCTCTATAGGTACTTACTTTGTATGCGTAACAAAAGGCATCCATGTGCCAGGTAGGGGTATCGGAATATGAGTTTGTTGACTGGTTGTATTGACAAAAGGGTTGCTGCAGATTAAAAGGGAAACCAACAGTTACACACTCCCCCTTATGCCCATGCTTTTAATCCTACCCCACCCACTGCTCATCTGGATCCAGGTCTGGATTCATATCCTCAGTGCACATTGAGTACAAGGTATTTCTCAATATCAAGGCCTGGCAGTGGGATCCAGGTGGGGCAGGTAAAACTCCTGTCTTTGTGTTCCTGGAACCCAGCTTTCTAGCCTCCCTGGCTCACGATCAGCTGAGAAACCACAATGTTCCCTGCTGAAAGCAGCGTGTAGTGCTGCCACAAAAGTCCTCCCACTTGTGTGTTTTCCTTGAAGGACAAGTTCCGTCAGGGTTCTTTCTTGAACAGCTCTTGAAGCTCTTTTATGATACAAGGTCTCCGTATGATTGGTCTGGAACTCCTTCCTTCCTTCACCTCCCAAGTGCTGGGAGGTAGATGCCTACCACCAAGCTTAGTTATACATGATCTCAAAAGACTCCCAAGGGGCATCCTTGTACATTACAATACTAGCATATTCAGAGTGCGGCCTTGAGGCATCCAGAAAAAGTGTTGATTAAAAGCATGGATGATTATAATTCTCATTAAAATCCATTTGGAAAAGAGTTTAAATGGAGTAATTTAAAATGTATGGCTCTCTGGAAGGGAGACAACTCTCCTAGAAACATACAAGGATTTATTTCTCCTAAACATAGATAGATCAGTGATTAACTTGAATATTAATGTCATTCATTTAATACCTTGTGCCAGACATGTGCAGAGATGATTTCATTTAGTGTGTGAGACAACACTATTATCAGATTGTATAAGTGAAGGACATCAATGCCCAGAAGGGTCCCCCAGCTGTTGGGCAAAGCCACAGTCCTGACATGGGTTGGTGTGTGTACTTGAGAGATTGCAGGCACTTGCCTTTGCCATGACTTTTGTTATTGAAAGACCACAGGTGTCCTTAGTGAAACATCAGATGGTGGAGGCAGGCATGGAAGGAGGATCATTTCCCTCAAGGTTGGGCATGTGGGGGTCTCCAAAGACAATGGGTAGAACTAGAGTCTTTTCCTGAGATGTTGAGGAGTAGAACCAGTGTTTGGGTTCAGCCTCATTGTACTAGGCATCCTTGAACTAAAGGTTTTGCTTCTTTGTGTTCCACATTTTTCTTAAGTTCAGAGTTTGTGATGCCATTTAACTCCTCTGGCCAGAAATGAATGTGTCATCAGCTTTACCCTGGATAACCAATTGTGTGTTTTGATTTGCTTAAAATTATGAACAATTTTGAGAACAATGAGACTATCTGTTCACATTACAGTATCATTTTTGTCTACAGAGTAATCAGAACTAAGCCATTTAACTGCATAATGTTCAGTTATGGAAATGATATTATCTTGATAATATGACCCAAGTCTGGAGTGTGGTCTCTTGAATTGAAGCCAAACAGTAGCAGTTTATTTATAATTAGTATATGGAAGACTGCAACAGATATTGAATGACTGGTCTGATTCAAATCCTAGTCTGTGTTGGCATTTCCTAGTATGAGGTGTATTTTACAATATTTCTCCTGGGACTGTTTTTTCTGGTGTCACATGCCTTTTGGACCCGTCCGGTTGCCTGGCATGCCAGTCAGGATTTCTAGCTTGGTTGCTATGACTCCATTCTAGCACTTCTGGTGCAGTTGTTCTGTGGAATTCCTCTTGTGTTCCTTACTTAGACTGCTCCCTCCTTCATCAGAGGGCTAATTACAGTATAAACTTGGCAACATTATTGTCCCTCTTGGTTTAACACGGTGCAGTTATTATCTATTTTCATTATTACAACTAACAGCCAGATTCTTTACTTTAACTGATACTGTCAAAATTTTTCCCTCTGTGTTTCAGCCTGCTTGGGAGGGAATGATGGGAGTGATAAGCCAACAAATGATGCATTATTTGAAATTCTGTCAAGGGTAATAGAATGAATCAGAATGAATTCACTGCTTTGCCATCGTTGCCCTCCTTTCTCCTGTTAGCTTCTCAAGCCTTTGACAGCAGCTGCTCTCACAGAGCCATGCTGGAGGTTCTGGGGAGAGGTATGTGGTGATAAGGGCTGATAGAGAGGTAGAAGGATGGAGTGTGAAGGCAGCTGCATCAGTCAACTTCCACATGGGTACTAGTATGAAGCCATCCTACAGCCTTTCTCCTGGGAATGATTTAGTCATTGGAGATGGTTTTGTCCTTTTTTGCTCTATGTTTTTGGGAGCTTGTCAGCTTCTATTGCAAGTTCATAGATACTTTCCAAGGATTAAACCAGTTTCCAGGATCAATGGGTTTCTGCAAAAAAGTATCAGCAACCCTCTACTCATCATAATTTGGGAGAATGAGGGACTTTGGAGAAGTCCCTTCTGGGTAACAGGCACTCAAGAAGAGTGCCTGTTTTAGTTCTGGCTTAAAATCTTTCAAGTACATGTCACTGAACCTGGTAGAGTCTGTCATGGTCAAAGATGCTGTGGGCTTATTTTTCAAGGGTGACCCTTGTGAGAATGCTTTCCTGCACAAGCTACTGAAAGAGCAGGTGAAAGAGATGGAGCTAGATTTATGTCCATGTTTAGCATGTCTATGATAGGTGGTTTTTCTTTATGATTCAGGTCACAAGGAAAGTACACTGCTGGGGATGGGACATGTGGGAACACTACAGATAATTAATGATCCTTGTTAGATAGCTTCTGATTAATGAGGTGGTGCTTTGTAGTTGTTTATTTTCCCAGCTCCCTCCTCTTTTCAATCAATAAGAAGATTACGATTTGAGAATTCACTAAGAGCCTGCATTACTGAAGCTCATGTGTAATCAATTCTCCAAACTTTGCCCTTTTTCTCTCTGTTAAGCTTAGCCTAGAAACCCTTACCAACCTCCTGCCTTGGGCCAACTTTCCTGCAAGGCACTATCAAGTGGTCAGTCAGTCGCTGCCCACATCTGGCGGAGGGAATGAGCCCAGTGTCTAAGTACTCTATGAGTTCTACATAAATGCACCTGAGGGTTTGATCAGGAAACTGAATGACTCCATTGGGGGATGGGCATTGGAGTTGAGTCAGGTATAAAGGACTAGCAGGGCACTGTATGTGTGTATATATATTCAAAATTTATCATCTAAAATTATATATATATATAACCTATATAATCTATCTATGTATCTAGCTAGCTAGCTATATAATTTGATTTTTAGCCCTAAGTTTTCTGTCACAAGTGTTCAGCTTGCTCTGGTGGCATTAAAGTAACCAGAGACCCAAAATAGGTGTGACTGTTTGTCAGGGTATCTTGTTTACAAATATAGGTGGTTAGCCTGTAACAGGCTAAGTCAGTTTGGCTTGTGATATACTTGGTATGGTCCACTTTTAGTGGAAGATAAAACTAGTAAGGCTATTAGAAATTAACTTACTCAGAGCCAAGGCTAACAATTTGGTCAGATTCCAAAGATTGCCTTTGTTCAAAGACTGTTATTCCACACACATACACCACCTCCACTGTAAGGGTTAGATACTTTGTGGGAAGAGTTGATGGACAGATTGCCTTTAGTGGGAAGTTGGGAGTCATGGATAATTGTTTGAGTAGGCAATTAGAGTATGGCTCTGGTCTAATTTCAGTGTTTAGGTAGATTAAAGTAGAGAGAAGAGTATTTTGTTGTTGAGGGGGGAGTCAAATCCAGATCTCTGTGCATGCTAGGCAAATGCTTTACCTCCTGAGCTATTTCCCCAATCCTTGTTTTCAGACAAAGTTTTACTGCATAGTTCAGGCAGTCCTTGAATTCAAACTCTGAAAGAGTGGGTGACTTGCTAGATGACATTTAGATAGCAAGGCATATAGAACTAGATTTGAGTTTTGCATTATAAAATTTTAATTCCTTTAGTGAGATCACAACTAAATAGGGGAATGAGCCTGCTATCACCTGGGGAGGAATGACCTGTGTGCATTTTATTCAGAGAAGGAATGTCGCAGAATGGCTAAGGAAGTCTACTAGCTCACATATCCTGTGTGGAACTTGGCTCTCTAAACTGATAGGGAAGTGCTTTTATTTCATTCTGTCTTTGGCTTTTTTATTTCATTTTTGTGTTTGGATTTGACAACGGAGGAGAAAACTTTCAGGTGAGAGTTTTCTTGTATTTGTTGGCCTGCTTGGAAAAAACATCCATTCTTTTTCTCTGATGATTCAACTGACACGTTCCCCAAGGTGACCCACTTTTACCTTCTGAGGTGCTGTGTACACTATTGTATTTATTAAAGATGTTGGGATTTGCTAGGTTTTATACACAAAATCCCAACAGTGAAAATGTCTGACTTTTAAATTAAAGCGATTACATTTGAGATGATGGTCAGGCAGTAACCATTTGCTCTCACACAAGGGTAATTGAAGGGGTGCTGTGTTTTCCTTCTTGGCTTTTGTACAAGGGACCAGGCTCCTGAGAACTCACTAACTCAATAGCCCTCCTTACCCTGAAATGGCCCGTTCAAAGATGCCCTTTGGGTGGTAACCTCCCCATACGCTTTTTTTTTTTCATAAAGAGAAAAAGATGAGAAGAAGCGGGGGAGACTTCACTTGTGTTTAGAGCCACAGCCTCTCTAAACCGTCTGGAGCAGACTATTTAGTTCCTTGTCCGCTATCCCATTCAGGCCTCTGCATGTTTTGACGCTTTTTTTTTTTAAGCTTTTCCATGGGCCTTGACAGCAGATCTCTCAATAGCGACAGCCTGCTATGGTGAGCTGAATGCCCTGTCGGGCACAATGCTCTGAATTTTAATGGTGCTGGCTGGCCCCGGAAGCTCGCCAAACACTGGGCAGGCAGCTGCCTCAAATCCTGCGATGGGCTCAGACTGGTTTCCTAAAATTGCTTCTGTGCTTTTTTTTTTTGGTAGATCTACACCGACTGGGCCAATCATTATCTCGCCAAATCCGGCCACAAACGGCTTATCAAAGACCTCCAGCAAGATGTAACGGATGGTGTGCTCTTGGCTCAGATCATCCAGGTCGTGGGTAAGTTCTCGTTTGTCCTTGATGGCTCATCTGTTAGAGCTGAGCCTGTCCAGAAGGGTCTAATGGATGGAGAGAAGAACACTGATATCTCTAAGAAGGCCAGGTTGTTGTCTGATGTGTTGAGTTTGATTTTGCCTTTTGACTTCAGTTATGTGGGGGACCAGCTTACTTTTCCAATTGAGATATCACACACACACACACACACACACACACACACACATCTCATCTCAATTTTCTTAGAAGTAAGATTTTCTCAGGGCTAAAGGAAAAGGCTGGTGATTTCTAGCACCTTTCTTGCCTCCTACTATCTTTCTGGCTCTCATCTCATTCCCCTCAACTCATGTTATTTTTCTTTTGAAAAAGAAGAAAAAGGAACATGGGGCTGGTTTAATCCTGCCAATTCTAATTTAGGTCTGAGAAGTCAAAGGATAAAACTCCAGGGATGGTTGGTAGGTTCTGGTTTTAATACTAGGGGAAAAGAACTTGAGCAATGGATGTTTTTTTTTAACGTCTTGGCTGTGAGTTGGGGGAAGAGAGTTGCTCAGGGAAGGCAGTTAGATGGATGCTGGCCATGACTTTGCCTCAGGCTTGAAATGAAGCATCCACTGGTCCTGCCTGAAAGCTCAGAGTAACTGAGGAGGCGGGAGGTCAATTAAACAGCATTAGGCTGATTGCTGTCGCTGGCAGTCTTGGCAGCTGACTCATGCCAAGGAGATAAAGCCCAGAAAAAGGACAGAAACTCCAGCGCCTCTAGCATATGTTATTGTAGAAGAATTGTTTATCTTTCAAGTGTGAGAAACAAGTATCCTTTCATAGTTGTCACCCTGCTCAAGTCTGTGGGGTGATACCTAGAAGCACAGGCAGGTGAGTCTAGGCTGAAACTTTTGAGATTGCACCTGCTGCTCAGAGCTAGACATTTCCATGCTGTTTTAGGACTGCTTTCTTAAGAAATAGCAGCTGTTGTCTCTCTTTCTCTCCTTTTCATTGGTCACATATTGCTATGTGACCAATTGCTAGAAATGCAGCAGCTCAAAACAAGATATCTTCTTTTCACACAGTGTCTGTGCATCAGTGGTATAGGGCTGAACAGGGGACCTCTGCAGAGCTGTAGTCAAGGTGTCTCCAAAGTCCCATCTTCATCAGGGGGCTTACTAACCCCAGTTGCTGGCGGAAATCATACCCTTGGGATTATAGAACTTCTCATTTCCTGGAGGCTGGGTGTTTTGGCCCTTGTCTCGTGAGGTTTCTCTCAGCTCCTTACCACATGGGCCACTTACTTTTTTATTGCCAGCAAGGAAGAAACCAGTGTGCAGGCAGAGTGGGCTGCTGTATTCTATTGGTTTAGAGGCAAGTTAACAGGGGTGGGTGTAATCATTCCTGTAATCCCAGCTACTTGGAAGTTGGTCATTGGAAGGATCTCAGTTTGAGGCCAGACTGGGGAAAAAAGCTAGTGAGATCCCCATCTTAACTAACAAACCAGGTGTGGTAGCATACCTGAATCCCAGCTACTCAGGAGGATATAGCTAAGAGGATCATGGTCCAAAGCTGGCCTTGGACCTTGGATTCAAGATGTTCATTACATAATAGCAGCCTCGGTATAACTTTAGTTTACTTAGTCTCTCTCCCCCAGACCTCCAACAGAGGATTACACTGGCCAGGAAATCTACAACTAAGGCTTGATATCAGCTGCCTCTCTTCCCCTAATTTCACTATACTAGAGTTTACATCTGTTGATGTGTGTGTTTGTGTGTGTGTGTATGATAAAGAGAGGGGGAGAGACAGAGACAGAGAGAGAGAGTGGGGGGAGGGAGGAAAGGAGGGAAAGAGAAAGAGAAAACTGGGAGAGCACTGGGACCCAGACAATTGCCGATCAGCCAGCTCAAAGCATTTACTCAGAGTAGCTTATGAACTCAGGTCTCTTGGTGGAACATACTAATCCCAGCACTTGGGAGGCAGAGGCAAGAGGATCATGAGTTTGAGACTAGCTTGGGTTATGTGGCAAAAACCTGTCAGAAAAAGGAAAAAAGGAAAGAAAGAATGTGGAAAGAATGAAAGAGAAAGGAAGAAAGGAGGAAAGGATAGAGGGAGATGTATTTGCGTATATAGAGATATCTATATATTTCTATCTATGTAACATTTCCCCCAAATTAGGGTCCTGCTGGCTCAGTGTCCATGGTCTGTTCGGCAGAAATCTAGTGTTTGTACTTGTTCTTTGGCTAGTGCATGCCTCCTCCTTCTGAAAAAGCCAGTTTCTGTCTGCTACCTAGCTCCCAGGTACAGCTGGAGGGACCCTATCATCATTCCACGGCCTGTGACATTGGGCCTGGCTCTTCATTGGGTCTGGGTCTGACTTGCTTCCTTTCTGAATCCATAGCATTTAGATTAGTGCTTTCATATAGTAATGTTCAGGGAAAACTGAGAGGATTAGTATAAGAATTTTATTTACTGCAAGTCTGGGTTGGGTAGTTTCCAACAGGTGGCCTGGATATTTCTCCTTCTCAGCATTCAACATACTTTCTCCATTGCTCTAAACTATATGGCATGCTTTACTCCTTCCCAGGTTCTGCTGCAACTCTCAACTGTCAGGTTTGTGACAGCTTGAAATCCCTAACCTGATACTTGGCTTGCTTCAGTGTAAAGCAGTCAACAGCCTTTTACTTAACTCCTGTGATGGGCAGATAACCACCCACCCCTTCAAGCAGCTTGGAATTTCAAAAACTCTTGTCGTAGTCTGCTCAGGCTGCTATAACAAAATGCCTCAGTCTATATGGCTTATAAATAGCAGAAATCTATTTCTCAGAGTTTGGGAAGCTGGAAAGTCCAAGATTGAAATGTTTGCGCACTTGGTGTCTGCTGAGGTCCTGCTTACTGGTTTATGGATGGGTATCTTCTCATTGTGTCCTCACGTAGTAGAAGCCAGGAGAATTATCTCCAGGGCCTCATTTATCAGAATCTTTGTCTCATTCATGAGACTATGTCTTTATAACTGAATCACGTCCAATGGCCCCACTTCCAAATATTGTCACTTTGGGAATTTAGTTTTAGCATATGAATTTGGAGGGGGAGGGGAAAATATACAAATCCAAACCACAGCAGCTCTTATTTTATTAAATGAAAAAAAAATGTTTCCATTAGGCAAAATCTCGAAGTAGTGACTCCATTTACCAGATCTGCTCTCTGGGGCCACAAAAAGCATTAATCCAGGGACATAAAAATAAATTGAAGTTAGAAGTTGACTACAATCATTGAGTAAAACATGGATTGACAAGTCTATATGGGTAATAAATAGATAAGTTTAAAATGTAAGTACATCAGGGGAGGAGAATTCCCAAATGCATAGGAGAACACTAACTGATGATAAACGAAGAAGGAATTGAAATTTTTAATGTAAAAATTAGTTAAGGCAAGAGTCATGAATGGATACCAAAATCTATAGGAGGAAATTTTATGATGGATAATTTATTAACATGGTCCCAAAATCTCTCTGCATTGTCCTTTTGTTAGTTGTAAGGTCAAATGTACCTACGTCAGAACCAGTAATAGATAGTTCCTCATTGATGAGGGGTAGATGTGAAGCTCTGAGAAGAACACGGTCTCTCTTTAAGTTGTATTCCATTCAAGGAATGGAAAACCTAAAGCTAATCATGAGGAATCTCAGACAAACCCAAATTGTAATATATTATGTTAAACAACAATGCTGTCTTGCATTGTTCAAAAGCATCAGTGTCATGAAAGTCCAAGTCTGAGAAAGTATTCCAAGATGAAGGAAACTAAAGAGGCATGACCATTATATATACTGTGTGATCCTGGACTGCATCTTATACAGGGAATGAAATGTTCTGACAGATGTTTTTGAGTCAAAAGTAAAAATTACAGTATTGGCATTCTATCAATGTTGAATTTTCAGAATTTCATAATCATACCATGGAAAATAATATGCTTGTTCTTTAGCAATATATACTGAAGTATAAGGGACAAAGGGCATGATCTATGTGGCTTGCTCTAAAATGATTAGAACCATGTGGGGTCCTGCTTGCCTGGGCAACATAGAATATAAGAATAAGGAGAGGGAGAAGGAGAAGGAGAGAGAGGAAGGGAAGGAGAAGGAGGAAGAGAAATATATATTGTGTCCCTATACAGAGAAAAAGAGAAAAATTAAAATGGATATGGGTACATGGGAATTCTCTATACTATTCCTAGAACTTTTTTGTAAGTAAGCTTGGAGTTATATCCAAGTCTAAAGTTGAAAAGAAAACACATTTAAATGAAGGACCAGCAAAAGTTGAAGGTAGCAGGATTGTCTCTTTTAAGGAATAGTATCATTGTACAGGGTTTTTTGTTTTTGTTTTTGTTTTGGGTTTTTTTGTTTGTTTGTTTTGCCAGTCCTGGGGCTTGAACTCGGGGCCTAGGCACTGTCCCTGAGCTTCTTTTGCTCAAGGCTAGCACTCTGCCACTTGAGGCACAGTGCTACATCTGGCCTTTTCTGTTTATGTGGTACTGAGAAATCAAACCCAGGGGTTCATGCTTGCTAGGACAGCACTCTACCACTGAGCCACATTCCCAGCCCAAGGAATAATATCTTTCTAGGGCTGGTTGTATACCTGTAATGCTATGAAACCTGACTCTCCATAAAATGCAAATGGTATGTCTTGGGGGTGGGGGGAGGTAGGAATCAAGGAAAGGCTCCTTGAAGAATTTGCCTGTGAGCCAGGATCTCAGACTTGAGTAGATATTGGGTAGGTGCAGCAGAATCAGGCTTAGCTTCTAGGTCCAGGACAGTGAATTTTGGAATTTAGTATGACAACCTAGTTGATTTCCAGACCAAAAATAGCATCAGGTGTGTGACTTCAAAGGAATGTTAGTGTATTTCCTGTGCATTACTCTCCCAACTCTTCAGTTATTCCAGACACCCTAGGTGGGCTTTTCTGGGTTCTGGTGTTGTTTGGGGTCTGTACTTTCCCTTGTTGCTTTTTTCTAATTATGTAGGAAAAGGGCCTCCCTCTGCTGTCATTGAGAACATTGACTGTGCTTGCCAAGAGCTAAATCTCTATTCTCAGCCTCTTGTTAGTCTGATCATCTTTATTTGTGAACTGCCTAGGGCCAGCAGCTGCCTGTTTGCCCATCACAGTGCCATCCTAAGTTACTGCGAAATTTCCTAAGGCCAGGATAAGCAGCATGAAAGTGGGAGGCAGGCTCCCTCCATCTGTTTGTATTGCTGTCACTCTGGGGAGATGCCCAGTAGGGGTTGGAAAGAGAGAAGAAAAAAAGAAGGGGGAGAGAAGAAAGGGAGAATGGGAGATGGCTGAATAAAAGAGAACTGGAGAAAAAGAGGGAGAACATTCTCCTTAGAAATGGAAACAGATGACAGGCACTAGCCCGGCTACCTCTGCACATAATCCTGAAATTCAGACAACTTGTGGGACTGTACATTCTTTTCATGTGATCTTAGGTAAAGATAAATAGTTCTAAGGGCTAGTCTCTCCCCATTGGCAAGTGTCAACAGCCAGAGATTGTAAGGACATGGGTTGGCAAATCTTTAAGATGCTCAAAATGCTTTGATGGGGGGATTTTTTTTTTAAGTAATGAGTTTGATGCTATGGTTGTTGAAGAGTGTGTTGATGCTTTCCAATCACTAACTTGTCATCTGTGTATAGACAAGTCATCACATTAGTGGGACTAAGAATGACTTGAACCTTCTGGGATAGATTACCATTGGCTATTAAAGATGCTGGTTTTAATCATAGTTGAGGACCCTAGGGACAAATGCCTTTGCTGCTTTGGTTATCTGCTTTGGGGCTCCAGCCAAAGACCCCCTACCCTGAGTTAATAAATTTTGCACTGAAGATCCAACTCTTCCTTCTTACCAATAAAAACAGAGCTTGTTCTTATTGCTGTAACCATTTTTGACAGCCATAAGAATTCTTGGGAATTTAAGTATGGGAAGAAGTATTTATATTATACAAAATTGGAAAATAGGAGGCTTACTACATTTTATTAAGTATTTAGTGTCATGGATAAGCCATTTGATGTATGTCTTCCTGAGGCTTCTTTAAAGTGGTCATCAATAGGTTCTGTCCCTGGGTTTGTTTTTGCTTATGTAAACTGGCAGGATTAGGTTATAGGCAGTATGATATTTGAATTCATAGTGCACCTGCATGGGCTTAGGCAGTGGGTTATAAAAAGCAGTTAGAAGAGTCTATAGTCCAAGCTCTTCATTTTTACGTATCCTGATGGTGTGGAGAAAGTCTTTCAATTTCCCAAATGATTACATAGGATCCATCACAGTTATCCATCCTTTTCTGCAATAAGTACTAATGATGGGCTATTAGTCAGCACTAATGCTGACAAATGCTGAACTAGGTATTGACCAGAATCCTATAACTTATGACTTTGGCAATCATGAGTAGCTAGCTAGAAGACACATTGCTTGTTGATTCTCAAGAGCCACATAGTTATCCTCTCTAACACTGTCAAAATCTAAGGTCTACTATATCATGCCCACCACAGTTTTCCAAGGATAAATGAATGCCTTTCATTCATTCATGCCTACTCATTTTCTTCTTTTGTTCACTTCACCTATCTCTATTTCCAAGGGAAAGGACAACTGACCCCAAGCAGACATTAAAATCTTGTTCATTGAAATGTTCCAAATATTCATTCCTTAGTTCCACTTTAAAAAAAATCGTTAAATGGCTACTGTGTCAGGCACAGTCTCTGGAGTGACGGTAAGAAAGGATGCAGATAGAAGTCTGTTCTTATGGAGTGTATATGATGACAATTAGATGTTCTAGATACCTGGCTTGAGCTGGTTTACTGAACCTTGGCCATCTTTTTTTTTTAATTTAATTTAATTTTATTTGTGAACATACTGTACAGAGGGGTTACAATTACATGGGCAGGATAATGCGTACATTTCTTACCAAGCATTGCAGCCTCCTCCTTTGGTTTACCCTTCACATCCCTTCCCAGCCCCCCCCCCCCCCCCCAATCCCAATCCTTCTCCTTTCCCCCCCCCCCACCCCCGCACTGACTTGGCCATCTTTTAGGTGATTTTTATGGCACTTTTTTGTAGGAAAGGCTTTCTATAATTCCTATCCTAGTGTTTTGTATAAGCAGAGTTGAGAAAATGTCAATTGAGTCTCTCAAGATTGGGATTTCCCCAGGTAGATCATAAATGTGAACATCTAATGTTGTTCTGGCGAGTGCTAAAGAAGGTGTAAATCAGGCTGAATCTATACTAACCAGGCTATCTCTAGTGATTAGATTTCTAAGCAATTTCCCGTCTGAGCTTGCTTTCTTGTTTTGCACTTGAGATAATGGTGAGTTATATTTAGGTTAAGATATTCTAAAATTTTGAAGGCTTGTGGGAGGCAGGGAAATTCTGATTCTGTTTTCCTTTTCAGGCAGTTTTTAATACCTTTTCTTCCCATGGAAATTTTAGCCATGATATTCATTAAAATCTGTTTGGGTTAAGGATGAGACGGAATTCAATTTTGCAAGCAATTATAGAGCTCAAATGTGAAGAATAAACTTAACATGTTCAAAAGGTTTTTCACAGCCTGGTTAAGGGGAAGGACCAGAAAGTTGGGAAGTTACATATTCTGGCAAACCAGAAGTAGATGTGGGGTGCTATGAGGACAGACCTGAATGTGCTTTATTCTGTATGATATGAAGCATGGGGCATAAGGACAAGGGGTTGGGGAGGGGGATTGTAAACACTTCAGGGGAGGCAAATCCTTGTTCCTTACGGAGGAAACCTACTGAGTTTATGACCCCAGCTTACACGGTGTCACCAAGAATATTTGGATTTTATATATTTTACAGAGATGAACTAAATATATTAATATATACAGTGATAATATTACTAGAGAACACCTACTGGTAGTCTTTATTAATATTGTCTACTTATTGCTCCTCTTCTGAAGCAAATAGTACTAACTACCATATTATACACGAGGAACCTGTGGCACAGAGAGATTAAGTGGCATGGCTAAGATCACACAGCTAAGAAGCTCTAGAGCTGGATGCAGTTTGTATGCCTGTCTGTAGAGCAAGTGCTTTCACCACCCTACATCTTGTTTTTCTTTCCTTTTTTTTTTTTAAATAATTTGATTGTCACTATTAATGTGTTGAACACAGGAGCTGCCATTTCCTGAGAAAGGTAATAAGCACATTTCTTTTTCTTGGATAATGTCACCTCTTCGTTTACTTTCTCCCAGTTTCACCTTACCTTTCTTCAGCCCTCCTCATAGATACTTTGGGTGGAATCCATCCTTACAATGAATTGTATTTACCATAACAAGTTGGGCCATTCCTCCTCTTTGTCAGGACTTGATTTCCTATTGATGTAATGCACTTGCTTTCACTTTTCTCAGTAGCTTGGTGCTGTTTTGACTTTAAGCATATATATTCCCTGATCTAATTTGGACTTGCTATATGGTCTTAGCCAAGCCATTTTGGAATCTAATTCTTGCATTCCCATTTGCAACCACTTTGGGAATGGCATCAGAATAAACAAAACTGGCAGTATTTCTGTTAAAGAGGAGGATGCTCCGATTCTGTCCCCAGGAGCTGAGTTGTATCTGGACCCACTCTGCACTGTCCCATCTTTTGAGCAGAGGTTACTGTGACATTTGCTTCTTAGAGCTGAAAGCAGAATCACAGCTCACTCCATTTCTCAGTCTCCAAACACTGCCACTTCATCCCATCACTGCAACACTGACATCAATGCAGTTGTCTCTGTTTTAAGTGATGACGACCTTGCCCCAGCTGTCCCTGGAGGACAGCAGCTTGATGATTAAGTCCCAAAGCTTGCTAGATGTGTCTTAGTATTTCACATGCCTGTGTTGATTGGACAAACCTCAGTATGGGTCTTAGGACTTGGGCTTCATATGTCCTGAGCATCACTACTGAAAGTGTCTCTCTGGCAATTATTTTCCTGACTTGTATTTCCTTTTTCAGCAAATGAAAAGATTGAAGACATCAATGGCTGTCCAAAGAACAGATCGCAAATGGTGAGTGGTATGTGGGTAGTGAATGTTTATGTTAGCAAGCCTTGCCTTAAATGATACTGACCATCTTGTAAAAACATTCATACCAGACACTTTGCTTCAGGGGATTATATTAATGCAACAACAGCCATGTCCAAGTAGCTATGCTCTGCTTCTCTGACATTTGTTGGCATTTGTTGAAATGGCTGTGATTTTTACGTAGATTGTGAGATAGAGAAAATGAAATATTGTCCTTGCTTTTAGACTTAAATTATGCAGAATGAGTACAAAAACATTTGTATTTTAGAACATGGACTGTTAGGACTCAAAGTCCTGTGACAATTTTGTGTGCAGTGCTGAGATGAGGTGATAGTATCTTACTGGTCAGAAATGGGGTATGTGATGTGATTGCTTTTAAAGGTTAGAAGGATGTGAAATCAACACGGTGACAGGGAATGGAATGAACAGGCACAGTATAATCTTGACAAATTGTATTATTGTTGGTGATACATTTAAGCTATAATGTTACAACTTTAAAAACTCAAAAATTAATCTTTAAAAATCTATAGAACTGGGGTGTGGCTCAAGTGATAGAGTGCCAGCTGTGAGTGATAAATCTTTTGTTTTTTTTGATATATATCATCTTTGAATTAAAGTGCATGATAATTGTTGAGAATGGGGAATTGTGTTGCTCTAAGCAGAAGACTTTCACTTCCCGATACTTTTTCAGCATAAAGATTTACACAATATCTATTATCAGACTCTATTAAGATAGTGCTAGGGTTTTTACCTGTTTAAAACATGAAGGTAATCGCTTAAGGCTGGACATGCTTCCATAATCTTAAAAAGGAAGTGCAATTTATTTCTATCCCCACACCCCACTTCCTTTAGAGTAGGCACAATTTGACAGGTCTCATGGAGATACCAAAGTGACTGACATTCCTTGAGTTCACTGTTAAATTTTCTAAATTGTTATCCTAAAGAGGTGGGCCCAAGGCTATCTTTTCTGACCACATTTTTCACAAAAACAAAAGAGGATCATTTTCTAGTTAATATCTGAAACAAGTTTCTTTTTTTCAGTTGTTCTATTAAATGTTTTTTTTTTCTTTTTGTTTGACCCAAATGACAATAGTTCCTTACACAGGATAGTCGCCAAGCAGAAATCTCATAGCTACTTTGACTCTTGAAAAACTTGGTTGCTATTTTTGCTAGAGCTACTGCAGCTGTCCAGTATATTAATAATTGAGAAAATTTGGACGATAGAAGACTTAATTTTAGTGCAAGCATTTTCACACATGCAATGTTATCTTCACATGAAAGAGATGTATTACTTTCCTGCAGGACAGATATCAGTACATTTGTGCTGGCCTATAATAATGCATATGTAGAGATGACTTTTGAAATTAGTTAATCTTTTATTTGGGTCATTTGTATTTCATGCGCCTTTTATTGGATGTGTTATTAAAGTTTACTTTCAAGCTTATAAAATATAATTTCAGATTCTTTTATGCCAGTTGATTTTATATGCAAATATGTTACAAATACTACCATAGCAGCAAAGCAGTTCTGTGTTTTCTCCATAACTCTTTCAACTGTGTTTTATTGTTTGTGTATGTGTGTATGTGTGGACTGTTTTTTACTTTTTTCAAGAATGCAAGAATAGAAAATCCTATAATTGTGGTAATGAGTTCCAGCTTGGGGGTGGGGAGGCAGACAAGATCTGTGGCAAACCTAGCAGAAAAATAATTCAGAAAACAGGATGTAAGTCCAGAAGTATGTAAGAACTTCTACCACAGTCGTTCTGTTCTATAGGAAATGAGAAGGATGATGATAAGGACAACAGGACTATTGTCCTTTGTATTCACTATAAAATAGAAGCAAATGCATAATACACAGCTCATTAGTTAATGTAGGAAGTTGGGTATTGCTCTGGTTAATAGAACATCTGTGTACGTGTTTGCATGCATGCATGCGTGTATATATATATGTGTGTGCCCAAACACAAACACATAAAGCATATTTACTCATGGGAAATGTTATTTGAGAATATGACACAGTGTATAAGATACCATTTGTAGATTTCTAGGAAGTTAGCTTCCTTGTGAGGCCTTATTTAGGGTGACCAATGATCGCCATTTTTTCTTGTTGTTTTCCAAACATTGCTCATTTGGAGGAGAGGATGTTGGGAGAGTAACAAACTCCCCCAAAATAATGTGTAGAGTTAATGTGATTACTACCTAAGAAAACAGATTATCTATCCAACAGTCTCTTTAATGGAGCAACTGTTTCAGAGCAGGAGCAGAATGGATGCCATCCCAGTTTTCAGCAAGCTAGTTGATTTCATCAGTTGGTCAATGGATAGGAGCCTGAACTTTGTAGGAGGAGCAAACCTGGAAGAGAGGACATTATTTTCCTCTCCATTAGTTTCCTCTCCTCTCACTGTTTCTCACACGTTGGATTACCTAGAAGTTCCAGTTTCTGCTCTAACCAAACCCTGGGCATTGTCCCTGAGCTTTTGTATCACTTGACTCACAGCTCAACTTGTGGATTTTTATGTTTCATTGGAGAACAAGAGTTTCACAGTCTTTTCTTTCAGGGCTGGCTTCAAACCACAGTCTTCATATCTCAGCCTCCTGAGTAGCTAGAATTACAGGTGGGAGCCACCAGCACCTAGCTGAAGGGAATACATACATGTGTTTGTACATACTGGAATATAGGCTTGAGAATTTCAGAGGCATGGCATTGCATCCTGTTAGCCTGTCAATTTGCAGATAGTCATAGGAATTTTCTAGTGTTAATATAGGCCAGGTGAGTGCTCAGGTGAGCAAGATTTGAACTCTGTCCACAAGAAACTCAAATGAGTGGGCAAGAGACCAAAGAACAATTAGAACAATAGAACTTTGCAGCTGCCACCACAGACACCTGTGCAAGAGGAAGGTTAAGAATAACTTCTAAGAGGTTCATCCTGAAAGAGTTTAGCATAGGGCACTGTGGGTGGAAAGGATTCTAAGCAGAAGCAGTAGGTGCAAATCCGTTTCTGCATTTTTGTTTACCTAAATATGACATGGATCCCAAAGAGGAAGTGTTTGTGAATCTGTGCTCATTGATCTTCCCAAATCACCAAGCGCTGCATCCATGAGGCTCTTCTGGCTTCCTGGCACCATCAGCCCTTTCTCTTGTGCTGAGGATGCACAGAATTACATAGGGGTCTTTTTAGACCCAGGAAAGGCCTTTCAGTATCTTCATTACTCCCCAGACTGCTACATCTGGAAGAGTCACCTGTAGTGGGCTCCAGAGCCAAGTTTTCTAGAGAATAAAGTCTAAGACCATCAACTGTATGGATAGGAGTTCAACCATGGTCTCTGGGAAATGAAATTCCTGCTGAGTTGGAAGGGGGTTTTCATGTCAGCACTAGTCCTTGTTTATTAACCTTTTCACGTGATCTGCAGTAGCTTCTGGGACACTAGCTACCTGAAGGGAGAAATGCAGGAGCCAGGTTGTACAGTACTATCCCTAGGACGTCAGTCATCAGCATCCATAACCTCAGTGCTCTGCTTTTGGTCCTCAGAAAATGGGCCATGACTGCGACCATTAGGCAGAGGAAGAATGGCAGCAGCTTCTCTTTTTAGAACATCCCAGCCTCCACTTGCTTTTATGAGTCCACTGGCTTTGTTCCAGTCTGACTGTGATACTTTGGGGGCCAAATCCTTGGAGATGAAGCTTTAGAACATGCTCTCAGTCTAGCCCCTGCCTCCCCCTCAAGGTCCACTTGGCCCTTTAGTTTGTATGTGTGTGTCAGACCTAGTTAAAATATTCTTTCTAAGTAATATCTCCATGGCAACCTAGGAGCATCTTTTTGACTTTCAAGTGCTTTGTTCAGCAGAGTTATGTGTCAGTTTGGAAGGAAAAACATTTCCTGGAACTCAGCCAGGGGACGCTGGGCAGCCCCTGGGCTGCCCCCTCCCTCTTATTCACTGCACTCTGAGACAGTAGAGGCAATGGATCAGTCCCTGTTGAGCCTTGGAATAGCCTGTAGCAAGAGGTCATTTTCTTGTTTAGCCATCATTATTTTAAGCTACTTGGCTTTCTGTCCTTAATTAGGGGAGGTGCAGAGGTCAGGAGTCCTGTTTGCCCTTTTAGTTAAAGAGCCCAGGTTGCTTTCCCTTTCAGCCAGTCTGGTCCCTCCAGGGCTGTCCAAGGAGTCCTCCTGCTTTCTTTCCTCAGTGCACCTAAACAGAGGGCTGACTGAGCCCAGGACCAACCAGGCTGAGCTTTAGCTTCTCTGAGGACTTGAGCTAATTGTTTAATCTTGTGAAGCCTCAGACTTCCTGTTCTATAAAGTAGGAATGACAATAACACATACCTCATAAAGTTTTTCTTAGTGCTAATGAGGCAATGAAAATGATAACGAATAATAATAATTAAAATTGGGAAAAGACATTCTAAAGTAGACTGTTTGCCTTGTACCAGGTGCTGCTCAGACAGCTATGTAAACACCCTTAGTTCATGCTTCTGAAGCCCCTGGAGGCAGGTGAGATTATTATCTCCATTTTCCTGGCATATGGGCAGCTCTTGATGATGATGTTATTTTTTAAAATTTTATTTTCCTGTAAAGATGCTGTACAGAGAGGTTACAGTTACACTAGTAAGGTAATGCGTACATTTCTAGTTGGGCATTGTTACCCCCTCCTTTGTTTTTCACTTACTATCCTTTCCCTCCCCTACCCCCCCCCAAAGTTGTAAGTTTCATTTCCAACATAGTCTCTTGTGAGTATCATTGTTGCAATGGGTCATCCTGTGTCCTTGTTTCACCTTTGTTATTCCCCTTCCACTTCCCAAATTAGATAAATGCATATAAAAGATGCAAGGCACCAAAATCGAATACAGTGACAACAGGGATATGCCATAAGAGGAAGAACATACAAAAGAATCAAAGAAATAAATCATATGGTACATTAAAAACAATAATAACAAAGAAAAACCTCTCGTCTGTATCTTAGGGTTCATTTCACTTAGCATCATCT